ACAAAATCAAACAGATGTATATCTGGGAAGCGTATTAACAAGGAACGGAAATTGCGACACGGGTATCCGAATGCGCATTGGGATAGCGAAAGACGCCTTCCAAAAGCTAAACAAAGTATTAAGAAACAGGAAAATATGGATAGATAAAAAGAAAAGAGTATTGAAATATTATGTAGCATCTACATGACAGTGAATGCTAGACAATCTCCTTACAGATGAAGAAGAGACTGGAAACAACAGAAATGTGGTTCTACAGAAGGATGCTGAGAATATCATGGGCCGAATTTGTGGGCGACAAGAAAGTTCTAGAGACAGTGGTGACAAAAAAGACACTTATACTTAACATTAGGAAAGGACAGTTGAAATTTCCCGGGCACAAAAGAAAAGTGGGCTTGGAAAACATGATGCTCACAGGATAGATTGAGGACAAGAGAGGCAAAAGAAAGGAGAAACCATGAATATGTAAATAGATTTAATATAAATACCTCCGAATATTTTCTGCACAAAACAGCATAGCATGATGCAAAATGGCCCCAAACTTGATAAAAACAAAGATTTATCGTCAAAATCTTTATGGTATTCTTAAGAAAAAAAAAATCAAATTATTTTTGATTATGAAAAGTTTTGATTTAAAAAATGACATACTCATAAAAAAAAAGAAAATAACTCACCCAGAAGGAAAATTCTAGAGAGTCCCGCCATAGAATATTACCCAAATATTAATCTGCGCCCAGGATTTTTCCCTATTTCACCTTCACAAAATTACTGCTCTCCCAAACAAACGTACACAACAATATCGTAAAATCAAAAGAAAATGGTTGAATCCGTCAACACAGCGATAATGACGATATTCTCCACACGTGACAATAACTGACGTTATTTTCAGTTAACAATATGAAAATAACGTTCTCTACATTCCTCCAGCTGCTAAGAACATTCAGTTTTTTGTTATTATTAGTTACGCTCTTTAATTAAATTCATTTCGTTTTTTTGCTTTGAGAAAGTCCATATTGGGCGAAACGCGTCAGCAATAACTACAGTTTTCCTATTGTCATTTATATTTATAAATTTTTGATTATATGATTAATTTTTTTTAATACTTTCAAACACCAATATTTTCAAAAGAATTTTGAATTTTTTTATGTGCATAAACGTGCTAACTTTCATAGATACGGTCCACCATACACGACATTATCGGAAAATAAAAGCAATGACTATAGTAAATTTAAAGTCAACATTTCTAAAATTCAATAAAACATTAGATTACGGAGAAAATCTTCCTAAATTTTTAAGATTACTGAGTACTTAAAAGTATATTTTAAAAAAAAGTGCTGACGTAATTTTCTTAAATTATGTTTTTCCGTTTTTTTAATTAAACTATGTTTCTATGTCTCCGTAGGACAAATCTGTCATCAGGCTGTCAACACAGCTACTGTCGGCTTAAAACACAACAACTATCGAATTAAAAATGCATTTTTGCTATATTTTAAACTTAAAGTAAATGATATTTGTTTAAAATCAGATTAATTATGCTTTAAACCAGCTAATATTACTTAAATAATGTTTCAGAAAAGTATATTTTATTTTTGGAAGATTTTTTTTAATAAAAAGAATTGCATTGCGATGCAAGACGACTAAAAAAGGGGCGATAATCAGCTATTTTTTTTAAAAAACTACTCTTCCAGTCAATTTAAATTAGTTTTTGAAATGCAGCAAAGTATTTTGCTTATTAGAAATATTAAATTTAATCTATTAGCTTAAAATTAAAAGTAACATAAAAGCTTCAAGAAAGATTTTTCATTTTTTAAAATTAATTTCGAACTTTAGATATTGTATTGTTCTACTTTTCTTTTTTTAGGTACGTAATTTAATGCTTATTCTTAGATAATTATATATGCCTTATTTGCAGCATCACCATGCCTTCATATTTGTATATCTACTCATATTTTAAGTCAAACTGACGATATACGTTTCCCAATAACCACAGATACAATTGTTTAATAAAATCCAAAGAAGAGTCTATGAAGTTATTGGTTGTGACCAGGCATCTCACCTTCAGCCAATATATTATATTTGGAGATTTTTAGTAAAAATATATTTAGATTTTTTTTTTTTTTTTTTTTTTTGTTTTGTTTTTTTGAGTCTTGGAGGCGCGTTTCTTTTGCTCGTGACGGTAGACTTTCGAATTGTTTAAGGCGTTGTCTGTTAAAGATGAGATTTCGAGATGTGTGTGTGCGTACGTTCGTGTATCACCCCGGAAGCCATTTCTTTATTCTTAATTCACATGACCTCAGAATTAGGAATGTATTTCCCGTGATAAATGTCAACAAGTCTGGAAAAAATTTTTTAAAAAAATATCATACTCAAAATATTTCACCTCAGAGTGAAAAATAATTTCAGACTCTTACAAAATATTAAAAACAATACGGATTTAAGATTTGGAATTAGGAACTGACTACTCTCGGCCGGCTATTTAAATTTTGATTTTTTTCTTCAATTTTTTTAATCATTTCACCATAAGCAAGGCAACAAAGCCGTTAAGACGCAAGAGGGTTACTGAGAAAAAACAGTATTAGAGAGAGACATTAAAAGAACAAGAATTAAGAAGACAGTAGATAACGATTGACATTGCATTTAGATTTTTGATGATCAAGGTTGACTGGGAAGCAAGAAGCTGGAAGGGAGTTCCACAAGCAAGAAGTGCGATAGAAGAAACTGTGAAAACAAAACTTAACTTTACATCTAGTCATTTCAATTGTAAAATAATGAAACTTCCCACCAATCTATCACTGCACTCAAATTCATAGAATCTAGATCTAATAGTGAAAGTTCACCAGAACAATCACCATGAAAGCATATGGTATTTCATTAAGACGGATCAAAGTCAGCAGTAAATAAATCAGTGTTATTGGTGAACATTTATTTATTTCTCTATTGGATCATGTTATTTAAGTCATGGCAATTATGTGTGAAAAATGATATTGCCTAAATGTCCGCCAAGGCTTCGGCGGCACACCTCCACTCGATGGTCAACATTTTTGATGATGTCTCTGCATAGTTGCTCCTCGATCTCACCAATATAGCTTTTTACCTCATCCTTCAGCTGTTGAATTGTTCGCATAGACCTTACTTTTGAGATGACCCCAAAAAACCTAAATCCAAAGACGTCAAGTCGCACGATCGTGGTGGCAAATTGACTTCGCTGTTTCGAGAGATGATAGGACCTGGGAACTTCTCATTGCATTTCTGTTTGAACGTCCATTTTCGTAATAGGCTTCGATAACTTTAACACGTTGTTTGATTGTTAATCTTTCTAAGGTTGAAATTGCCAAAGTTGTTAAATCTGAAAGAAAAAGAAAAAAAATCATTAAACGCTTAAAGTTAATTCACACTTAAAATCGGTTCAAGTTATTTGAACACCATTCATTTATAGAAATGGCTCAGGGAAACTACATTACGGTGGTGGGAAAGTGGCTGAAGGTGAGATGCCTGGTCACAACCAATTACTTCACAGACTCTTCTTTGGATTTTATAAAGAATCTCAAAATATATAGCAGAAGCGCAAGGCCAAATGCCTCACTAGCATTCAAAGCAAGGACGGGTGGTAGACTTATAAATATGTAAGATAGATTCTGGCGAGAAAAAATTTGTACCATGATACATGGAACTGTTGCCGTCAGGAAGGTCGTTGATGACAACTAGGAACAACGCAGGTCCAAAGATAGGGCCCTGGGGATTGCCTACGTTAATTACAAATGATCTAGAAGAGTGGACATTCAAGACAACTTTCATTTCACGATCCGATAAGAAAACATGAACCAGTTCAAAAATTCGTTCAGAAATGCCATAACCTTTCAACTTGTGAAGAAGATCACTATGCCAAATTGTTTGAAATGACCGGGTTTTACTATTCTTATATAAAGCTTGGTAAGCAATAATCGTTAACACATCGGCAGTTGACCTAGAGAACTGAAAACCATATTAAAGTAAACGCTGCGAGATGAGATGCTTAACCAATTCAGAGTTGATTAGAGCATCTAGAACTTTACGAAAAAGAGGTGGAAGACTAATAGGCCGTTAGAAGGATCAAATGGTTCGCCTGAGACAGGAACGACAGAAGACGATTTCCAATAAGCGGGAAAGCAAAAAGCATCGAGACATTTATTGTTCTTGCTGCCATGTGTGAGTATAATTTCGCTCTACCGAAAACTCATTTTCATTTTTTTTTTTCATTTTTAATTATTTTTTTTTCTCCCCCTACTCGTCAGTCTGTTTGACTATCGTAACACATTTATTTTTGTCCTAATCATTCTAACCTAACTTATAATCCTGTTTATTGGTTTAGTTGGAAATCCCTGTTCGAAAGAAAAATTGAAAAAAAAAAATGTCTTTGGCTAGAAGCGAAAGTGTCACGTCAGTATTCTCATGATCTAGTTGGCCGAATTTTCTTGCTTGATAAAATGTCCGAACATGGAATGGCTTTCGCCGTTTTCTTTCTCCTGTTGGTCTTAATTTTATTGAAAGCAAGTATCCCAAGCCCACTGTTGATAGGGGCGGAGGATTGGCCGTTGATCTCCCCCCCCCCCTCACCAGCTATGCGTTTCGTTGAAACTTGATGCTTGGAGTTAAAACCGTACATTCACTGGTTATCATGAGAATGAAAGCGGACAAACACTCGCTGTCACGTCTGATGCGATATTTATTATGACATATCAACAAAGCCGGATAACCTTATTTTCTTCAATTTCTTTCTTTTTTTTTTAGAATAGGACAATGGAACATACTAAGTTAATACTTAGTGTTGTGAAAGGGAAAAATACAAGTGTCAGCCTGGACAGTTTGTCAACTACCCCCCCCTCTTATCTTTCTCTTTGTTTTTGTCGTTCTTGTATGTGTTATATGCAAAAGGAGTAGGTAGGCTTTCCTGCCGCCCGGTCAATACTCCTCCCCCTTCTCTTGGACATGAGCAGAGGCTCACACCTTTTTTCTTGTTTAGAAAGGGGTTCCCGGTACTCTCGCTCGCTCTCTCTCTCTCTCTCTCTCTCTCTGACCTCTGTATTAGTGCAGCTCTGTTTCTCTCATGATGTGTGCAATCTGCGGCATTACCGCTTCATTCTAAGGGTACACGGTTGACAGTTCTCTGTCGTAACTCTTGCGTAGCGTCTTGAGCGGCCGCTCTGATCAAAAGTTGCATAATACTGGGGTGTTTGTAATGCCATGTCGCGCATGGAAAGGTGTCCAACCTGTGGGCAACCTGAGGCCACATTATGATGCAGGCTGTGCCAACTCCTCTCTGCCCACGTCACGGTCGATAACTGTCTGCTTCTTTTACGTCGGGCCTTCTCATCTTCCAACCATAATTCCACATGATAACTTACAAAGACCGAAAATTAATCCTAAACCAGCCTCTCAAAAATCACCTAAACCCCTCAACATTTCGTTCTCCAACATCCGTGGCATTAGAACAAACCTCTGCAGTATTAAATCTTTCCTCACTGCAAACTGCCCGGATATACTGACACTCTGTGAGACCAACCTTGTCTCGTCTATCCCCTCCTCTGATCTCTTGATCCAGGCTACCTTCCTCTCCTCAGGAAAGACTCTCTAACCCACATGCACGGCCTTGGTGTCTACGTCAAGGACCATCTCCCTCTGGCCAGTGAGTTGTCTCTCGAATCACCAGACCAGTCGTACATGTGTTTCCGACTATCTCTTCTCAATGCGGTAAGCTATCTCTTCTTCCTTTAGCGATCTCCATCCTCTCAAGACTGTGGGATACTCGATAGCATTTCTGACCGCATAGACAAGGCTCTCTCCCTCCATCCGTTTGCTCACATATTTGTGTTTGGAGACTTTAACGCCCATCATGCCAAGTGGCTTAAGAATGCTACTACTGACCACGCAGGCATTCAAACACTTTTCAGTTTCTCAATCCCTCACTCATATAGTTAACTTCCCCACTCGTTTTGCCTTCAACCGGGAAGGTAAGGTGTCTCTTCTCGATCTGTGTTTTACCTCCATCCCAGAGTCTTGTAGGGCCACGCAACTCTGCCCTCTTGGTAACTCCGATCATGCTGTAGTATCTGTTAACATCTCTTTCAACTCCACCCCCTGCAAAAAAACCTCCAACCACTAGAACTTCGTTCTACTGTCAACGAGCTCACTGGGACTCGTTCCGTGATTTCCTCCGCGATGTCCATTGGGATGTTGTCTTTACGCTCCCCGTCCAAGAATGTGCTTCTGAGGTCTCATCCTGGGTTAAAACTGGAATCGACGCTTTCATCCCCTCAAGGAAATGTAGGGTCAAGTCGCGCTCCTCTCCTTGGTTCTCCACTGCTTGCTCAGCTGCCATTGCCCATAGGAACCACTTCTTTCACCTATTTCGTAGCGACATGTCTGACTGCAATAGACGTCTCTTTGCCTCCGCCCGTAACGAGTGTAAGCGTGTCCTCAACGTTGCTAAGTCACTATTTGCTGCTCGGATGAAGGAGCATATTGCATCTCGCAAATTTGGCTCCAAAGATTATTGGCGTCTCTGCAAGAGCGTACTGAACAATTGCAAACTCTATATACCTCCTTTGTTCAACCAGTTCGAAGTCCTGACCTCCTTTGCCGACAAGGCTGAATTCTTTGCTCGGAAATTTTCATTCAACTCAACTCTCGACTCTTCCGGTGTACCCACAGCCGACTTCCCTCTTAGAACTGAGGCCCTATTGAGTGGGTTACGCATAACCCCGTCTTTGGTATTGGGCATTATCTCCAATTTAGAGCCCAACAAGGCTAGTGGTGGGGATACCAGCCATTGTCTTGAAGAAATGCGCGCTTTTCTAAACTATATAACTACTGCCTCAAGGAATCTTGTTTTCCTGACTGCCGGAAGTCCTCTTCGATTGTTCCTGTCTTCAAAAACTCTGGCGACCCCTCTGACCCTTCTAATTACCGTCCTATCAGTCTCCTTCCCCTCTTCGGCAAAGTCTTCGAAGCCCTAATCAATGCCGAAGTGGTTAACCACCTTACATCCCATCATCTGCTCTCAGACAAGCAATATGGCTTCCGCTTTGCCCGATCTACAGCTGATGTGCTTACAGCCATCACTGAAACCGTCTACCAAGCCCTTCAAAATAACTGGGAAGCTCGTGCCGTGGACCTAGACATCTCCAAAGCGTTTGATAGGGTTTGGCATGCCGGCCTTCTTCGCAAGTTCCAGGGTTATGGCATTACGGGTCGATTGTTTGACCTAATACAATCATTCCTGTCAAACCGTGAATTGAAGGTCGTTCTCAACAGATTCTCCTCCAGTTCCTATCCCACGAACGCAGGTGTTCCTCAAGGCTCCATCCTAGGCCCCACTCTATTCCTTATCTATATAAATGACCTTCCTAACGCCATAAATTCCCAAGTTGGCATCTACGCGGATGACACCACAATTTACTCCTGCCTCAAAAACAAATCTAGTGTCGCCGACAAAACTAACCTGGCCGTGCGTCTCGAAAAGGACCT